TATTTATATTTAGCGTGTTTGTGTGTGTGTATGTGTGTGTGTGTGTGTGTGTGTGTGTGTGTGTGTGTGTGTATGTGTTTTGACTCAAAGTCTGGTAGGGAGAAAAGTACATTGTACCAGTAGTTCTGGCCTCAAAACTACTTAGGAGTGTATGACTAAATCTGTGATCCTTTTAACTAATCAATAAAAGATAGGCAGTAATTCTTATTTACCAATCTCCCTGGGGCATGGTGAGAAGCAAGTGATATAATAATAGGAAAATGCTTTCTGAACTACAAAGAGTTCCATAAGTGAGTAGTATTGCTGCTAAAACGGATGCCCAGTGACATAACTCTGCATACAGAAAGACTACTGTGTGAAACTGGAGGCTAAGGCCCTGTGGCGACAGCTGTCAGTCAGATTACAGGGTGGTCAACACTGTGCTTGGTAGTGTGACTTACTCTCTTTGCCTATTTGTTGTCAGTGTTTCTCACCTTTTACATATTACATCGTCTTATGTTATCAGTTTTTCGTAACACTCCCCATCTCGTCCCGCAGTTAAAGCAAGGATAATAAAAACCACTGCTCTCATCTTTTCCATGCACCATTTATTAGTTTGTGCCATGCAGTATTTGCTTCCATGAGGGTCTTGAGAGGGTTAGGAGAATTTTTAAAAATTTAAAATGCCTGTGATGATGAAATTTAAAAAAAACTAGAAATGATCTAAAATTAGCTCTTACAAAACTGTTTATGAGTGTGTCAGGTGGGGGATTACTTTTCATAATCCAGGATATATATTTTATATTGCAAAAATAATCATCTGAATATTAACAGCGTCTCTGATAGAATACAAAAGAAGACCTACAGCTCAAGCAGTTCCATATTTATTTAATCCTGCTGTGCATCTATTCTGTTAACATGCCCAGATTTTCTGAGAGGTTCAGGATAAGATTTTAAACAAGAGACTCTTGAGAAATTGGATTCCATCTAAATAAGGAGAGAGTCACAAAACTAGACCCAAGAGTCAACCCGTGGACTGAGCACAGTTGAGAGTGCTAACGTTCCGGACCTTAGCACAAGTGATCTTTATTTTTCAGGTCTTCAGAAGTTTAAGTAGTTGTTAACATAGCAGATTTAAAGGTGCCTTTCCTTTTTATAACCTTACTATTTCTTTCTTGGACAAATAAACTACAAGTTCTCAAAAGCACAAGAGAGAGAGAGATGATATCTGTATATATGCATTTATTTAATATGCCAACTAGTCCCAGTTTCCTGGAAGTTATTTTTTTGTTGTTCAAGTGTCTATATCCAAGGTTTCATAGATGAAGTCCCTTTCCCAACTCTGAAACTCTTTCTTCATTTCTCTCCCTTCCCCCAAATATATTCAAAATCACAGCATATCTGTTCATCTCTCACTGAATTATGAGTATTTAGTATATCACTCATTGGACCCTGGTGGTGTCTGAGTGTTAGAAATTCAGAGAAATTTTGTTGTTACTGTTCCTTAAAGTGAAATTTGGACTTGTGTCTGAAGATGTTACAGATTTTCAGTTTATTTTAGTTTCTGGTTTAAGCACATTTAAAACATTTGGGTCAAGTGAATATAATGCAGTTTATGTTAGCTAGTAACAAATGCATAAGTAGTTGTTTCTGCTTCATTTAAAATAAAATTGAAATAACCAACAGATAAAGATTTCCTTGTATTTAGTTAAATGTATTGCTATTCGGCCGATTTGATAAAACTCAGAGTTTAACTTAATTGTACTTTGCTCTGCCAGCTCTCTTTCTCTTTATCAGCAGGATGGCAGGCCTTCTCAGACAATGGCAGGC